TATATATATATCTCATACAACTGGATGAACGCTCGCACATAGCGGAGCGGTGGTTAAGCTAAAAATGCTTATAGGTCGCAGCTGGGAAAATCGTCGTTTGGATCCAATAAATGCATTCCATAATCATAGTAAACGTCTACGTGTTTTAATTATTATACCTTCTTTATGTAATGTTCTTTGTATAGCATACAGTCTTTCTTTGTCTAGTTTTAATTAATAAGCTTTCCCTGTGTCCCTTCTTCCGCCCCCTGTAGTCAACCCTTTTCACACCTACTTTATATTGTTAATCCCTTCAACCCACATGGTAAACTATTCTTGTAGATAAGATAACTCTTCTATTTAAGTTCCTGCTTATGTATATCCAGCCTGAGTCTTGAATTGGTGATTGCCAAATAAACATCTCAACTTTTTGACATATACATTGTTGTACTGACTCTGTATGTTATAGTATGTTTCAGTTATAGTCATTAGGGGCTCTATTCGGCCCCCATGTCGGCACATTTCTGGGGACAGCATACGTGTGTTGGCCCTATTTTATTTCCTTAAGGTGCATTATCTTAATTGAACATTATATATTTATTATAAATAATGTTTATCGGGCATTTTATTTGATTAATTCGATTTTATTTACAGCAATAGAATAGAACAAAAGGAATAGTTAAACTATATCAACATGCCACTACTTTACTAATAAATAACAATAGCATAGCGTTTTGGAATGGCTTGTAAAGGTAAAAATGTTGTCGCAAGTTCGGCCCCCGGGCCTGACTTTTTGCTGGCGCCAGCGAGCACCACTACTTCATAAAGAGCACGGACCTGGTAAGAGTAAGATAGTATTCCATCGTAAATGTTATGCTGCTGTCAATGAATTTTATGCTGCTTTTAATTGATTTTCAAAAGAACGAAAAAAACCGGAAAACTGGAATTCATTGTGCTTGAGTCGGCAAACTGGGATTCGGCAAAGTGGTCTCGGTAATCTGGCATACGACAAACTGGATTTCAAAAAAAAAAAAAAAAAAAAAATCCAATTAAAAAAAAAAAACAAACTGATGTATCCCAATTTCACACAGGACTGAATAACAGTAAATAACAACAGCGTAAAAACTAAAATTCTACTAAGAAACCCAATTAAAATATATAGTTCAACAAGGATATTCCTATCTACTTTTTTTTTCGACAATCTGGCCTAGACCCGTTTGGTTACCGTCTTATCGATTCATTATGGACAAACCTAGGTAATATGTATTGAAATATTAATAGAAACTAGAACTAGAAAACGATTTATTTTTCAAAGTATTACTACGTTAATATAATAATTGATCACTGGATATTCTCCTTACGAACATTAGTTGCTCTTAGTATTTGAGATTTCAGTAGAATTATTCGTTAGTGGAATACTACGATCCTCAACCTTCCCCTTGTTGGTCGTATTAGTGGTGTATTTTACCCTACTTCCTCTGTCGCCTTCCTTGTAGCATCCATTCCACGCATCGCGAATATCTTTCTGTCGTACGCAGAACAACATAAAGATAAAGAGGCCTTGAAGTGAGTTGAAAATACAAAACAAAGCCTGGAACCCATCTCGTGCAGACGAATCTGAATCAATTGCCAGGAATCCAAATACCCATGTTAGACCAAGTAGGACAGAAACAGCTATAGCACTCTGTAAACGTTTAATAACTATCTTCCTCTTTGATTGGTCGATTTTATTAGCAATTGTTCGCCCACAAGTTAGACTGTACATGACTAAGAAGAAAATTGCCCAATTAAGCAACAGAAGGACGCCGATCACAAGGATAAAACCGAAATTTCGAATATTTCCAGAAGAAATGAAACAACTGTAATAAATAAATATTAAAATTAGTACATCGTCATCCTAAAATTGTTTTTCAATCAAATAATAATAAGCTACATGTCCTTCTCCAAATAAAGACCCATCCAATTAAAGAATACTTTTCTGTGGTCCCAAATTAACAAAATGTCTTTTATTATTCTAATTAGAGACCGAATCTGCTTAAGGCCATGGAAACCCCGGTCTCAAAAGTATTCTTTAATTGGAGGGAGACCGGTATTATGATAAATAGCAAATATGCTAATTTTAAATAAGTAAAACACTAGGCCTAATAATAGTATTATATAGACATGTGTTATACGCAATTTTCAATAATGAGTAAAGATTATAATAGTTAAATATGTTAGAATTAATTAAATTATCGATTTTTTAAATATATCTAGTTTTATCACATGTTTGCATTTCATGTAGATGTGCAGTTATGACACATTATTCAATACGTACTATTTCGCATTCTCGTAGTTGTCAATATCAATGGCCATACAAATTGCAACGATACCAAAAGGAACACCTAGAAATACAAAAAAAAAAAAAAACATAAATAATTTGCAAAGTGCAGTGCACCATTCCGAGTCGAGATGCAGTGTTTGGGTAAGTTAAAAAAAAATGATGGGTTGGAATCAATTCAGATTGCAGGAAAACGTTTACTTTTTACGCGATTTACTAAGATGTGTCTGAGCGTCTACCGAGATAATTTATAAAATGTTAATGTAATTTTATTTTATTCAGTTCGAAACCAACAGCTATAAAAACTGCCACTAACAGGTTAAATCAAATCGTAATAAAATACATTTAAACAATAAAGTGAAAAGTTGGGGGGAAAAAAGCGCTTACAAAGATTTAACAATTTTACTTTTAAAATCATTTAAACTATCATAAAAGAGATCAAAATCACAAGTAAAAAGCAGACTATTTAATTCATTGGGTAACCGCTGAAAATGCCCCGTTCTGTGCAATCAACACGAACGTATCGAACGTGATGCAAACACTTATTGCGAGTACGAGTAGGAACATTTAGATTAAAGAAGCAAGAGGACAATCAAAAACAGATTTCAAAGACTTGTACAAAAATATCATGTTAAAAAACAATTCCACGGTTTTCAAGAGAAAAAAGAGATATTATAATTGGGACAGGTGTGACTAAGAAATCTAATAAACTTATTCTGAACATTAAAAATACGCTGAGCCTGTGTGACAGAAATTGAACTAAAATAACTGAACACTATTCCAGGTGGGGGCACGACTGAACGGTAAAGTAAAGCTAATGCCCAACCATTGTTCATAAATCTACAATTCCTCCACATTAACCCTAGCATCTTATTGCTTTCAACACTACATAATTAACGTGTAACACAAATTGAACTTCTTGTCTATTAAAACACCCAGATCATTTTGAAAAATTAACACAATATAATTCGTGGTCATTCAACTTATATGTAAATAAAATAGGTTTCTTTTCAGCGTGATACATAATGATTTACATTTATTTATTTTTAAGGAAAGTTTCCAAGATTCTGACCATTTCGTAAGTGACCTCAACTCATCCTGTAATAAATAAGCATCCTGAAGAGATGACATTTCCTTAAATAGTTTTAAGTAATCAGCAAACAAAAGTGAATGTGACAACTTAAACACAGATTGAAGGTCGTTAATATATAGATGATAAATCAAGGGGCCCATAATTGACCCCTGAGGAACTCCAGAAAGTACAGGAAGCCACTCGGAGCAAATTCCACTGATAACAACTCTCTGCTGCCTATCAGTCAAATAATCCGAAAACCACTACAAAAGATTACCCGATATACCAAGCTTTGAAATCTTATAAACAATAAAATTAAGGGAAACTGAGTCAAATACCCTAGATAAATCAGTGTAGATCACATCACATTGCTTCTTACTATTCAAAGCCTTGGATGCTGTAGAAAGAAGCAATGCAAGTTTGGTCTGACACGATCTTCCAGGGATGAATCTATGCTGAACTGGTGTAATAACTGAACTTAATTGATTATAAACCGCATCATGAACAATTCGTTCAAATAATTTTAATAAAGTAGGCAGCAGAGAAACAGGACGGTAAATTTCCATTTCCTTTTTCGAACCACTTTTGTGAATTGATGAGACGTTAGTAAATTTCCATGTAGCTGGAAAAATTCCTGAATTTATGGATAGTTGGATTTATGGATGAAAAATTGTGTAAAGTGGATACGAGAGCGGAGATGGGGCTACTTTAGAAACAGTACTGCTGATTTGATCATTGCCAATGACTTTATTAATATTAATATTTCTGAGTGCTACTTCAACAGAATACCTATCTACCACCATTGTTGACATATTGTCAAATATATAATCAGGAAGATCGGACATTCTTGCGTTCTATACAGAGAGTAATCACTAAATAAAATCACTTTATCAAATAAGATTCAACAGAAATATTGCCCTGAGACATAACTGAAGGAAACCCACTTAAGTTTACATTTTAGCCAACTCTAGAATCTCTTTTCGTTTGAGCCAATTTGCTCTGCCAGTGAGTTAAGGTAATTATTATATTTTCTTCTACATACGCTCTTGAATGAACGTCGGGGAAAACTAAATTTACATTTTGTTAAACGATTATTGTTTTCTTCAGAAACCACAGACCCGTTATGGGATTCTAGGCCCAAGTAGCGAGGCTAACGGCGGCTGGCAGATGACAAAGGGGGAAAGCTATTCTCAGTCTGGCAGCACTTTGTTACAGTAATGCTACAACTGTCCCCCACCTGTCTTAGAAACATCGGTGAATGTTTTATCAATTGTAGCACTGAAAAAGAATTGTTAGCTCTCTCTTGAATCTTCTAAAATCCTGTGTTATCCTAATGTGGATGGGGGAGAATATTCAATACTTGTGCGCAGCAACGACAAAAGAGCTTCTCCCCACCTGGTATTCGATGATATTTCAGTGAGAAGTTCAAGACTGGACGATCTAAGTCACCTGCTCGTGATGATTTATATTATTAATTCACAAGTATTGCAAAATATGAAGGGCCATGTCCGTTGAGAACTTTAAATACAATCATTGCAATCTTGTATACGATTCTTTTTTGTACCGGTAGCTGATACAATTTCTTAAAAACTGGGGTGATGTTGTCTCGCTTCCTAGCGAAGGTTTGCATTTTTGCTGCAATGTTCTGAAGACGCTGCACACAGGAGAATTGATGCTGTGAGATATTATAAAGGAGAGAGTTTCCATAATCCAAGCGAGGATGTCACAAAGGCATAAGTGATTAGTTCTGCCACATGACTTGCCTCGTCAGGTACTGTCGGATTCTTATCTTCTAATATTTCTTATTGACATGCATGCAGATTTGGAAGTTGATGTGATGTGATCTCTCATAGTCATGGTTGAATCGGACACTGCTCAGAGATTGCGAGCATTTTCTGCTGGTTTTATATAAGATGTACCAATTCTTATGCCTGTTTCGTATTGAACTTGTGCCCCCAATTAAGTATTGCTATAAATTAGTGTCAATGCATCATAATTATAAACTCGAGCAATAAATCAGGTAGGCTTCGCTCTCTTAGGTGCAACTCAAATAGGTCTAGGAAGTCTATTATTAACAACTCAATAACATTAAAGATAGACCTAAAATAATAGTTTAGGTCTATCTTTTTATATATATATATATATATATATATATATTATATGTAAGACCTATACAATGTTCCTTTTATTTACACTCGATTTCTAAAGTGTAATATGTATTTGTTGTCTTTATTTTATTTATGGAAATGTTTGTAGTTTTAGTTAGGCTATTAAGTAGTTTAAATTCCAACTTTTGTATTGCAAGTACGTTACTTTTTTTTTAGTAGTTACTTGCCATTTGCATCTTTTTATGTGTTTTAGTTTGTTTTTTTTTATTTTATTTTGTTATCTACTGGAAAAAAAAAACCTAATTTCACGTGAACCAAGTTTTTCATGTTGACAAGTAAATATATTTTGTATCTTATAATTATATCTTATATTATATGAGAACAAGGACAGGGGGACTGAAATGAGAGTGAAATTTGATTATAATATAAATGATTGGAGATGTTGTCAAAGAAGCCAAAAGAGACGCTGCAGACGGTGATGTTCTGTTTACAAAATTACCAGAACTTTACCTTTATTCCGGGAGCCAGAGGCCAATTGTTTTCATAAAAGGACCACTCGTTAGTTGTTATTTTTAGTTATTTTATGCTAAGCGTACAAAATTACATTAGAAATTGGTACATAATAGGGCTACAGAGAACTGCAACGATCACAGTAATGATCCAAACAAAAGAATTGATCAAATATGTGAATACATTAAAATCTCCGCAAAGCGAAGAATTGGTATTTTTAGACGAACAGCTCATAAGAAGACCACAAACGATCCCATATGCAGTCTGACTGTCTATTGAAAGAAAGGCATTATACAACCAAATTAAAAATTCAGCAATGGCTTATGATAGATCACATATTAGCAAGCAGATAAACCGAAAGAAACGAATGAAACAGATTGAAAATGAATACATTCATGATTTAGCAAATACTATTAATTCAACGAATGAAAGTCGATGTATATTTGAAGCAGCGCGATCATCATCAAAGTCAAGCAAGAAAACCTCAGTACATGTTAAAGATGACAACGGAATGTTTGTTACGTCGGACTCCAAAAAAGCAAAATTAATTAGAAATTGGTTTGCGAAACAATTTCCTCTTGCAGATGAAGAAACTTTAAATTATTTTGCTTGTCCACCACAATCTCAAAATCAACCAATTACCCATGTGGAGTGAAAAATGTGGCTAACCTGTTAAATAACGCAACCGACCTAGAAAATATTCCTTGTAAACTTTTAAAATATGCCTTCGATGAGTTTTATAATCAGCACGCTGAGGTCATTATTGAATGCTTTGAAAAGAAAAATGTTAAACTGCATTGGTGAAGCGTTTTTTTCACCACTTTAAAAATTTAAGGAGCCTAAAGGACCTATACAAAATCTTCAAATCACGCTAAGCAACTCACAGCTTTTTGGTAAACAACTTATTCAATCATAGAGAAAGAATTTTTCTGATCCAATCAGAAACTCTGAAAGTATGGGGGTGACTTAATTAAAAACACCCCAATTACATTGACTATAATAGGCAAACAACCCACATCACTGAGTCAGACACCGGAGAGAAGAGCTTGAGAACTGACTCCACTCCGAATGGGTTCAACTATAATAACATCTGAGAAACCTGGAGTTAGTAGTCGATTGTACATACAGTAGAAGTTGATGCTGAATATTAGCTTTGCAGTGTATTGATACAAAAAGAACTGTGTTCTATCTTATTTAAAGTCACCGACCAACCAACAATCTACAATATTACAGTAGCATCACCAGAGAACTTTCTGAAATTACTACAGTCGAGTTTTGGAATGCTCATGTTAACTATGGTGAAATAAGAAGTAAGACGCAATAAGAAAAATGATGAATGGTAAAGCAGATGACTGAATTGCAGCTGAAATGAGGAAATTATGCTCTTAACTGATTTAAAATTCATATATTTTTATCATTATTCTTTAAACAGAATATTTACCATATCCAACTGCACATACTTTCAGCATGAAATATTCTATATCATCATAAAAAACTTTGACAAACACGAGGTACATGTTAACAGCTTCAATTGACATCCAGAATACTGAAGCCAGTCCAAAATAGTGGAGTAATGCGGCAATGGCGATGCATATTTTCTTTGAACCAGTCTGATTTATTCCACTAACAAACACTAGGTACAGGAAAAATAACGATATTGATAGGTTGATGAGAATTAGCTGAGGGCGCTTGCTTCGAAGTTTCCTGTAATTGTAAGAAAAACTCAACTTAAGCATGAAGGAATAAATATAACTACTAAATAATGTGTGGCGCTGTTTGCATTTTAGTATAATGCTTAGTAAAAGCCTGATAAATCTTATTGTTAACATATTAAATGTTTCTACATTAAAAGATAAAGCATCTAGAAATTACTTACTTAAAATACAAGTACGTGAAAATCGTAATTGCTAAACAGACAATAGACACAATACATCCGATCAAGCTAATGATAGTCAAAACATCTTGAATCGGCGAATCCTTAGGTTCATAGTAATCCTGTGATTATAAATTGAATTTAAATGAAAAAGAATATTGTGTTTATATTCTTTAATTTCATCTTAACTTTACACTAAAAAAAAAAAAAAACAATGTATAGGTAATAATTGTAATTAACATACCGAAATACAGAAACTAATTATATCATTTCTAGATTAAAACACTGGAAGACTAAATTGATGAATGGCATCCAAGCAGAAATCGAAATAATGCAGTATCGGATAAAAGAAATTCAAAGTATTATTCATTATAGTTCTCTAACATGCAGGTAAATGGTAATTCTCTAATAAATTTTAGCCTTATACATTTAAATACATGTTTCATATTTGGAAGTTATTATAATAAAAAAGACAAACTAGGATACACTCACAACAAGTATAGCGAAGTTGGTAAGGTGGTCACACAAGCATATTATACGGTTGTCTTCTGTTTTGTTATATGTACAACCATCACTTGACCAATCACCTACGCCATCGTCAAGAGAAAAATCCCAGAAAACGCATTCTGTGTTGTTTATATTTGTCTATAAATTAACAAATACACGAAAGGGATTTTATATTAAAAATGTATACATGGAAAATAATATATAATAATTATTATGTATAACTATTTACTCACAAAACGTGGAAGGAAAGTCGCTTTTACAGGATATACCAGTCCATCAACATTCACTGCCTCTATCGAAGTTGAAATAATATGGCTGCCAACTTGCCGCTTAACTTCCTTCGTAGACTTGTTAGCCAATTTGTTTGAAATGAACAAAGAACTATTCTGATAAACAGTAAAATACACACGAATCTCATCCTCTCCCGTTTGAGCTTGGCTTATAGAGATAATCTCAGGTGGAAGAGCTATGGACGCTCCTACCATGTCAGTGGGGATGATCTGCTCGAATAAAGTCTTCACGTCATCCGGTTCAAAATTGTCGATAACAGAATCACCTTCTGAAAAGGCTACATATTTCAAACTGTTTTCCAGAGAATATGAGCTTACTGACAACGTCATAACGCTAATATGAGGTAGTACACTAGTGAAATTCATGCCTGCTGCTGCTACAGTTGCAAGTTGCCGCTCTAATGAGGTCACGAAGGAGGACGATGTTTCTCTCATTGACAGATCTGTCCCGAGTACACCTGATTCGATTACGTTATCGATAACTTCAACTACGTCCAGCGTTATCTGGTAATAATCAGAGTAATAATAGTCTTTATTTAAAACTGTAGGCCTCCAGCTCTTTGTAAATAAAATAAAATATATGCCTCCAGCCCTTTGTAAATAAAATATACATTAAAATTATATTGACGTGACAATAATAAAAAGATAAAGCATGTATTGGATTGGATTGGATTTATTCGGTGTAAACACCAAGGACAGCTCACGAATGTCTAGAAGAAAGCTTTTTTTCAGGTGTTTGAGTTACGTTTGAAATATACATTTTAAGTTTCATCCATTTTCTTAATATAATCCCTTTCCTCAGCATAATGGATAAATATAGCCTACATATTTTCCTAATAATAGAGTTTTTAGAAGACAACTAGATCAAATTTTGCAATGCTAGGGAATACTTTTTTCTTAGATCACTATAACATTTGCAGAACAAAAGAAAATGCACTTCATCTTCAATACTCCCATTACTACAGACACAAACTCTATCCTTAAATTCTACTCTTTTTACTACGTTTTACTTCTAATTTACATTTTCCTATACGGAAAGGCGTTAACAAAAAATTTAAATAAGGTTTAATATTTAATGATAAATATGATTGTATGCCGTACCAAAAAACCTTTGAATCTGGCGTAATTTGTTTACTTTAAATAATTATATCCATTATTGAACTAAAGGAGCACATATTACAAACAACACATTACCAATAATAATAATAATATTATTATTATTATTATTATTATTATTATTATTATTATTATTATTATTATTATTATTGTTATTATGTTCAACCCGATATTCTTATTACAAATTTAAAGCCTGATATGATTATTCTGAAGGACAATGGAATTAAAATAGTTTATTATTAGAGACCAATTTTGAAAAGGATACGAGAGGAAAACTGTTAAGTATAGCCAGTAAGTTGATGATCTTAAAGCTAAGAGGTTTAATGCGAATTATTCTGTATAGAAGTTGGAAATAGAGTCAACTGTGTTCACTAAGCAAACAACAACTTACATTTCCATCTAAATCTATATATATAATACATTTTCTAAATATTTTATTAGAATATAAAAAAACAATAATATTCGTTTTATTTTTTTTTTGTTTTTTTTTTGTTTGTTTATTATTTTATTATTGAATTTGGATCATAGAAAAGAATTGCTAATAATAATAATAATAATAGGCTTAATTTATAATGTAATTACGTGAATTAAAATATGTTTATTATTTTGTAATTTTAGTATTTATTATTTAATGCGTTTCTTTGGTATTATTGTACATTTATTTTATAGTTTATACATGACTAACATATGAAATTATATATTGAATGTTAATTTTGAAAAATCTGACTCAAAATTGCGTTGAAAGGAACTAAACTGGGTACTTATATCCTTTTGCCAAAGTTTGTCAACATGTCTTGAATCAGAAAACCCACGGCAAAAGGGCATAACTGACATTTTGAGCGCAAAAATCAATATTTATAGAAAAAATGTGTGCTACACTGGAAGAGACATTATTTGTCTATTTGAATACATTAACCATGAAATCAAATACTAAAACACATTTTAGGGCTAAATAAATTACACGTTTTGCTTAATATCTCGAAAACAGCAAATTGTCAGTTATGCCCTTTTGCCATGGGGGGGCAGATTGACATTTTAATCAGGTACACAATATGGAACGCCCGTCATAACACTATGTGGGACGACATTTCCTTGTTAAAGTTTACGAAAATTGGTTAATTGAATTTGAAATCAGTTTACTTAATCAAGTATTGTTTTGTGAATTGTTCATAAATTTTGTTTTACCCTGCATGATCTGAATTTTTCAGTTAATGACCTGGGTTTTTAGGTACATTCTGTTGTAAACTTTTATGAGATTTGTAATAAAAAATGATGAGAATAATTATTATTTTTAATATTATTATTATTATTATTATTATTATTATTATCTTTCTTGAAACATAGTAAGCCATTTTTAAAAATTGCATTCACATCCATTGATCAGATTTTGTAATATTTATGTCCGGACGTTAGCATTTTAAATGACCCCAAATATTACACTGGAATTTGAATCATCACCAAAATTTAATGTCTTTCAGAAAGTTTCATACAGATCAATAGATCAGTTCTTGAGATATCTGGTGTAGGGTGTTTTTCCTCAAAAGGTGGTCCACAAGAGACTGCTAACAAACAAACACACGCACCAACACACAAAGAAAATTCAATGAAAATAATATGAGCTAATAATAAATATATTGATAATAAATATAATAATAGAGTAAATAATAAAAAAATTCAAATAGATGAAAATAATTATAACAATAATATTCGTACTAACAGTGATATTATTGATGATAGACCTGATTTTATTGATAATGATTTAGGCCTATACTAAAAATCAGACGGTTGTCAAGTAAATACAGTTAGCCTTTGCACATGCATTTAGGAATAAACGCTCGCTTTTTTGTTTTTTATTTATTAAAATATACATAAGTTGATAGCTTTTTCAACAAAAAAAATGTAAGTAAGTTTCGAAAGTCACTAACTTTCAAGTAGTGAGGATAATTGTATGAAATTTAACCAAGTGTGATATATTAAAACCAGAAATTAATGTGGCTAAACCGGAGTTCCAGGCTCTATACCCTCGACAAATTCTGTAGAAACGACAAACTTAAACCTTCCCTACTCGACCATAGATCGTTTGATTGGCGGTTTGCGTTTTTGGCCGCAGCAGATCAAGAGACTTACCGATTCGTCTGGATTTTCTAGACCAACAATGTCTTCTAAAATACGTGACACGGTCACAGTGGAATTTTCATCTAGATTAGCTGTGTTGTTTGTGACGTTTGCAAGAGCATCAGCAACGTCTCCACCATTGTCTTCAGTAACCTCAAACTATAAATGCATAAAATTATTGACAACCGAATACCCTTGCAATGACATTTTCCTATTATAACTACGCTTCTAAGCTTTTTTTTAAAATAATGATAGTGCTTTTGTTAATTACTTACAAGATTCTAGGCCCTAATTTTTATTACCTCACTTATCCTTTCAATTTGTTCTGAGGTTGTTCTGATGTCGCAGTCAAAAATAATAATGGAACTCCACATAGCTCCCGATACGAAATCTCCTCCACAGTAACGTGTTGCTAAAGAAACTGCAACACATAGAAAAATACAGACATACCAAAATTACGTACACAATTTGTAACATAAGTCCTAAGTACCGTAAATGTTCGAATTGGTGCAGCCCACCCCCCTATTATAAATAGATTAGGCTACTCCCTAATGCTGGGAGCCGATTGGCTATCTAAAAATAGCTGGGTTGGGATTTTAAGACCCATCGCCCAAGATATGTAGTAGTTGAGCTCTGGATCTCATGAAGTTTAGAACTGGGAAATCCCGATGTTAGTGTCTAGTAAGGTAGGACCTGTAGTAGTTCTATGAAATAGTTTATAGTCGAACTCAGTCATTGGGACTTGAGAGCCCAGTAAGGGACAGGCCTACTTATAGTTTAATTCCGGTGTTAACGGGAACCGGTCGGCGGCTGCTGTGTGCTCCGCATACGACATTGTATTTGTTGTTGATAATGGTACCAGTTTTATTGACCCAATAAATGCTATGAGAAACTCAGTTAATTTTGTTTGAAGTTTATTCAATAGTCGATCCGTATTATCTGACGGCGTGTCCGACAGACTTACTTACGCAGGACTTAGATTAGACTGAGACGGCTTGGCCGAAACCGCCACAGAACTATGGAAACTTATGTTTGGAGGTCGCTTACAAACCTTGGTCCGTCGAGTATAGTGGGCAGACTTGAGTTGATTCTGCAGTTGTGCCTAGCTGAGCATCCGGGAAACTGTACCAAATACCGCCTTGGTTGACTTTTTCTCCAATACATGTCGCTGTGTACAGATAAAGAGAAAAATTAAGAACAAACGTGTAGTAGATCATTATTTAACTACTTTTCCTTAGACAGAAGCATCATTATAATGCTCACTATTTCTTAGACAGAAGCACCATTATGATTCCATCACGTTCATTAAAATTATTTAACAAATAAAGACTTACTTATACTGGTAACAATGACATAAGTAGGATCTGTTTCGTATTCCGGCAATGATAATAGAGCGTCACTTATCATCACACGTAAAGCTGAAGCATTGTGAGCTTGATCTGAGAAATACATCTCCAATTCTGCAATAACACTTCCCGAAAATATGCTAGTGACGAATAATTCGAATGAAGTAGATAATTCGCCTTCCAACTGAAATATGAAGATATGCGTATTTGTAATTCGCTAAGTAGGCCAATATCTTATTCCTAAACAAAATGTAATTATTGTTCTTCGAATCTTAGTTCAATAGAATTATTGCAAATTATGAAATAGTTTGGATACTGCAACATATCCTCCCATAGTCGAGCCAGAAGCATAGCTATATGTCAATAATGTGCTTCAAACTACTGGATCACTGAGGATTTGTTGGGAATTCAAATCCGATTATTAAAGCAACTATATAAACATTGACAGTAAGAGGTCCCGAATTCGAATTTCAGTTGGGGCAATTTTCTTCCCACTCACAATTCCATTTATATATAATTATACTATAGCATTTATTTATGAAAAATATCTTCAGAGATCTGATCTTGTCCTCCAATGCTAATAACATGAGGGCTTATCATATTCGAGATGCATACAAAAAAAAAATAGTGTTGTCCGACTACGCATGTGCAAGAATGCAAGCAATTTGTTGCTGTCTTTGCAGATGGGCTATTGCAGCTTTCTTGGAAATTCAAATTTGAATAAAGAAACTATTAGAGAAGAATTTGTTAGGGAGAGAATTTGTTAGAGGGGAGAAATTTTTAGGGGGAGAACTTGTTAGGTACGAGTTAGTTAGGGAACGACTTTGTTGGGTTGATTTGTACATGTTTTATTTCGATCCTATACATGTAATGCAATTGGAACTATTGGATTCAATATTTCACGTTTGTGTGTGTGTAGACATTTATGCGAAGTTTCTTTAGCGTTTCAATCTAGGCTCAGGCGACTCTAACAGATCGCCAAGTTGACAAGGGCGAAACTATTTTGTATTGGCAGAAAAAAAAAAATCAACTGCTTTAGGCATTTTAACAAAGGCCTAAAAATTCCAATTCAAATCCCTCCACTTACCTTACTTACTCACACACACACACACACACCTGTCTCTTATACACATCTAGATGTGTATAAGAGACAGCCTTAAGAGTAGGCTTACTCCTGAGACTTGTTGCGGCGTTTTGTAGCCTAGAAAAGACACATTGCTTAATAATAATAGTTAAGCAAATTTAGAACACAGACAAACGCACACACACAGGACGGAATCATAAAAAAAGAAGTCAAACAATTGGGAAACATGCCTATGGGGATGCCAGTCAAGGAATCGTCTACGACTATCTATTATAGGCCTAGGCCTATGTCTGTGATTTTTTTTCTTATTGTTAGCATAGGCCAACCTACCTGGCCTACTGTCAGCTCTAAAAAGTCCTAGCATAGGCCTCCTAGGAGCTAGGCAGCACTGTACTAGCCTATGGGGATGCCAGTCAAGTCGCCCCCTCGAAAACTAGCCCTTTACCAACTCGCCCCCTACAAACTCTTGTATTCCTGAATAATAATAGTAACAATAATAATAGTAATACTAACTATGATGAAGATAATAATAATAATAATCATAATAATAATAATAATAATAATAATAATAATAATAATAATAATAATAATCATAATAATTTTTTTTTTAATGATATATTTTTATTACAATGTATTGTTATGTAGTCGTATTCAATATTTTACAATAGAGTATTTCCGTATCATTCATTTAGGTATCATTTGGGTAATTCTGTATCATTGGGTAATCCCTATCATTTGACCGGCTTACACAATCTGATTTTACTAGGCCTACTGATAGATATGACAGTATACAATATTACAGTAAAAAAGGAAAAATTCAGGTCTGTGAAGTCGGTAACCATGAAATGTGTTTTTATTCAGGAAAGGAATCGAATATACATACAGTATGATTAATAACTATTTGGTAATGTTAGGGCCTGGCTCTGCGGCTAGGCCTAGGCTAGGCCTGGTCTCTACAGAGGTGTGGGGGGGGGGCTTTCCTAAGCCTAACTAGGCCTAGGCACCTAGCCTAGGTCAGGTACAGTATACAGTACTAATGTATTCCTGCTTTGAACGAATGTCTTCAGTTAGGTCAGTCAGGTTCTTTAAAGTTTTCAGTACCCGGTCGTCTGCTTCAGTGGTTGTAGACTGCAACATGTCGTCCAGACTTCTGGTGCAGACCCTCCTCTTCTTCCATGTCTAGGGCCCAATCCCGTAGTTTAAAGAAACTATCATCAGGGTCCTTCAGAATTTTTCTGAGTTCACGCCTTAATACACTATCTTTTAGGCCGTCACAGAACTGTTCTCTAATAGTCCGTTCCGGATCGGGAGCACCATCCATTCGTCGGAGCTTTTCGGAGAGTCCAAGTAAATCAAACGCAAAGTCAGAGAATGATTGTCACTTCTTTTGAACGTTGTTGTATATTTGCCTCATCAAGGTACTTAATGTCATCCGTTCCCCAAATGTTTCCTGTAAGCTAGGTCTCCAAAATTCCATCCGGGTCACCGGCTACTCCCGGTCTGTGTTTAATCTCTTTCTTTGCAGCGCCTTCCAGGTGTGCTAGGATGAAGTCTGCAGCACTCTGTCCAACTAGCCCTCTTACTCTTAGAGTTGCCCACATATCCTCCACAAACGCTTCAACGGAGCTACCCTCAGATCCCGAAAAATAGCGGAGTCTTCTTTCTGGAAGCACATACACAGTATTCCCGTTACCATTGGCATTCCCATTACCAGAGGCTGCCCTCCTTGTCGCCTCCAAATTCTGCACGGAGCTCGTCCACTGTCCGCTGACAGTACTTCTCGTAGAGATGACTTGCTTGCCATCACTGCCATCACTGTCCTCAATTGTATTACAAGCGAAGTTCGACCCGCAATCCCACTTCTGACACCAAATGTAAAGATGCAGAACGACAAACAACCAAGAAACTGCCTATAATCGCTTTAATACGGTCCGGTGGATGAACTGGCTAGCTGAGGCGTGCCACAAACACCCATTTACTATACGAATTTCAAAGTTGTCCAGTGAAATGGCCTAGGCCTTGTCGCCTACTATTTTATGAGCCGAGCAAACTCGATGCTGTAGGCCTAGCTAAGGCGCTATGCAATTTTGGTCAAGCAAAAACGTCATGTAATATAATAATTAATAATAGCATAATAATAAAAATCAATTTCTTTTGGAATTTTGTTATGATTTTTCAAACACATGTTGATTAACAGATATTTACTATCAAATGACATAACATTTTCTTATTAATATTTATATTTATTTATTTTTTCAATTGTCTATTATGTTTGCAATCGCCACACTGCAGCATAGGCTTTGCGTTCACTCATGCGTGCAAGGTGCCAAGATGGCTACCCAGTAGCGTCTCATGTCGCAACTCTCTCTATATTGGAACTCTAGTAAATCTCAACGACAGCTGTTATACAAAGTAAATGTTACCAGGAAAAAGTGAATTTCAAGTACATGTGGGCCCATAATGGAAACATTAAAAAAAAAAGATAAAGGAATGCGTTCAATAGCAATCATTAATGATGATGACATTAAACACATCCTATACGCGTCTATCTTTATACATTACTGCTATCGATTTAGGGATAAATATGATAAAACTCTTTGCAGTTTTACCCATCAACATACCCCTAGTTAATACAACAGATAATATACTTTACGTGTATAGATTATCATTAAACTGCAAAATAAAATTTAGATAAAAATTAGTCTATTAGGATCTTGAATATATATTGATAATTCATAAAATTACAGTACAATACTAAAATTGTGTAAATAAGCCTAGTAAGTACGAATAATCAATTTCTTTTCTCTAGTTCATCATGAATCTACAAGATTTAGGTGAGGACGATAAGTAAGTTCACAATATTAAAAGACGTAATCGACGAAAGGCTAACCCTCAAAGAAGCGGAACACCCGAGCACGCTTTTTAAAGCAACTTAATGCAGTCAAAACCAAGTTTGTTGAATGTGTGAACGTTTTATCATGGGAGGAAGCAGTAGAGCGGTTCCCAAAACATACCAATGAATCTTCCTTTAAACTTTTTACAGAGACAAGTAAGCATATAAGAAAGTATAATACATACTCCAAGTAACGAAATACTATATATGAAATATATGAAGTATTTCAATACTTAGAGTATGTATTATACTTTCTTACCTGAGATTATTCAATAGTCCTTTCGGTTTTTAAGTAAGCATATTTTAGTATTATTTCCCTAAGTACGTTTAAAACAGATTTTTAATGTCAATTCTTTATCAACAGTTTTCATGTTTAGTTACACAATAATATACACAATAAATTGTATGTAGCTTTTTATAAGCCTAAGCCTAGCGCTCCACATTAATAACTTAATCCACGGAACACTCTCACCTATCCCCATAAAGAGTCTAAATATAAGGTTTTATATGTAGGTGTATGCTTCGATGTACTTTTATTTTCGCAATGCTAAAATTTACCAAGTTTACTTCTTTCCTTTTTAACTATTTTTTTATCCGGACCATGATTGATCAGGGTTTTGTGTGCGTACAATAAACATGATTAATTATCATTGTTTTATTTAATTGTTTTCGTTTATAGAATTAAAAGTGACTAAAAAGCAGATGCCATCAGGACTTCTGTCCCATTGTATGGATGCACTTCAGTGGGAGCCACAACAACGTAACTTAAAAGGATTGTCACCATCATCGGCACAATCCTGTGTTTAATTCACAACACAGCACGTGCCATGTAAATGCAATGTTCTACGCATTTTTAATGCGCAGAAAATCGCTAGCAAACCACGACATGGGGCTGAATCGTGGCGTTCTAGTCCTGAAAAAAGTTAGTACTTATGTACATTATTTTATTTTTTCTGCACATTTCACAGAAATAAACTCCTTTGATGGTGTCGCTACAGCATCAGGCTATCCATAGGTGGAATGAAGAAGGATTCTGATACAACTAACGGTCTAGGTGTAATAAAACAAAACTAAATTTTAGATCCTTCATTTATTTAAATTACGGGGTAAAATTTGTAATGAAGCCGTGTTAGTCTAAACAATATACACAGATTATTACACATACAATACATACAATATTACACAGTCTCCGGGGAGACCGATCATCGTGTCCCACTTATCATCCCCTATAATCCACTTGTTAAGCCTTTACAACACATTATCAACGATCTACAACCTATACTAGATAGTGACCCTGTACTTCACAAAATCATACCTAACAAACATGTGCTTGCGTACAAACAACCACCCAACCTCAAACAATAGCTTACTTCAAACAAAACACCCCACACCCCCACCACTAAGGGCACCATTCCATGTAACCAACAGAAATGTCGCCTTTGCCCACATATAAACACTAGCAATACCATAACAGGGCCTAATCAAGTTACATACAATATCAGTGGATCATTTTCATGTTTTTCATCTAACGCCATCTATGCCATTACATGCACTGAATGTCCTGGTACTATTTACATAGGAGAAACTTGCCAAACTGTCAGACAACGCATGAATGGTCATAAATTTGACATTCGTCACAACAAAAAAGATAGGCCCAGTTCATTTTAATTTACCAGGACATAATATTACACACTTTACAGTAGCTGTGCTCTTGAGTAATTGCTTTAAAAACAGAAATGAGAGATAAATTGCTAAACAAACATTATTCATAAATTTGATAGTATTAATAGTGGCCTCAATATAGATGTAGGCTTTCTCAGCCACTATAAGATTTAGTTTGTTACCGACTCCATTGTTCATTTTAGCACCATGACCACACAGATAGTTTATCTCCCTGAGCTCTATTTATTAGTTGTATTGTAAGTAGCTTGATCACACTTGTTATCTCTGATCATTATATATTACATTGTATCCGACTGCTAATTGGTTAATTGTGATACCTTTGCTAATTATGCATGCATTAGCTCTTTTCTATTTTCTTTTCAATTTTTTACTTCACACACCTGATGAAGCTGGCATTGACTGCCAGCGAAAGCTTGTGTTGAATAAATTACATCAAAGTTAGTCTCAGAGTGCTGCCTTTTATAATCGGGGTTTAATTTCATTAGAATACAACTAGTGTATTTTGCGAATGTCTGCTTTATTAATGTAACATATTAATAATTGTTCTGTTGGTTCTACTGCATAATTTTGTATTCATTCCCAATTTTTTTATTTACACATGTTTGTTCCTTTCTAAAAAAATGTTCCAGAGAAATGCTGATGGCGGATATGTTTGCAGTTATAATTTTGCTTCCATCAAAATTCACATGTTACAGTGAAATGAATGCAAGCGTTCGCCGGTTCACTACGTAGCCTACATCACGCGCTGAACACGCACACTAAACATTGAATGATACGCGCTAGAAAGCAAGAATTAATCTGTTCTGTTAGATGCTGTTTTTGGCTCTTACAAATTCATATGGTGAACAAAAATTGCGTACATGTATTTATTTTTATAGTAACAATAATTGAATGCGCAACAGGTATTTATTTATATTATTTGCCCGGTTATTGTCAGTCAAAGAAGCTGGAAAGACAGCATAGTTGGTGGTATGATAAAAGCAGACACAGAAGCCATTCTTTTGCAGACGTTCTTGACTGAGTTTACCAGTGATGGACATTTAGTGGTGAATTGTATTGGATGGAATGGTAAGAAGTAGTTAGCAGGTGTATCACTTATCCATTAATTTACAACTACCGCTATACTGTATTAACTAAATACAGTAATCCTTTTCTGTGTCATATGAAAAAAATATTGGACCCTCTAGTTAACCCCTCCTCAATTATTGAAAGCTATCTATGCCCTTGGAACAGAGGTAATACATGCAGCAAACGCTGACAAGTTATTTAATGAAAATTTAACGTTGTATCTCAATACTCTACAGACCAAACTAAAGTTTAAACAATTTAATATTTAAAATAATAAAGATGATAATAATAGTACACAGACATTGCCTCAATGTGCCCGAACTGTGTCGTTTACCTCAAATATATATACTTTCGAGACCGGGTTCGGGGTTATTTATTCCTATGATATAAATGCAAATTATGTTAATGCTGTATATTGAAATACAGAGCTGCAGCAGAAGATTTAAATTTCCTTCAGAAACTGTATAAACGCGGTAATTTTCGGTGTTCAATAAAATGCTAACTAAAATTTTGAAAAACCATATTACTGTAATAGTTCACCAATGCTAATTTGTATTCGTATTTTCTATAACGGTGAAGTGCATTATGATGAAAAACAGAAATTGCATAGTAGTAGATGACTCAGCAGATGATGAAGAGTTAAAAGCACGGATATTGGTAATTATGATAGAGACAGAAAATGATATCCAAATGGCAATGTATGAAATAGAAGGTAAGTTTACGTTCATCATTTCATCAAAATTCAATACAGTAATTTTGAATAGTCATTTTTAATTCTAAAAAAAAACTGTTACGACACATGATTTTGTGAGAATTGATGTCGAATTAAGTTACTTATAACCACCATGGTTAAAGTAAAGAAATGTTGAACATATACCATTTTCATGTTATCGACGAAGCATACTTTTTTCAGTAGCGCCTTACTTTAAACTAACAGTGCATTTGTGTATATAGCGTCCAGTACATATTTCGCATTGTATGATGCATACAAACAAAATACATTTAGCTGTAGTTTTGGTTGACGTACTTTCTAAAGAAAAATAGTCATTTGATTAACAGCAGTAAATGTGTGACTTTAAAAATAGAGTTTCCACATTGGTTGACTTAATATAATTATGAACGACAATGTCCTCATAAATCTTTTCAAAAATTGGCTTCAGCTTTATTTTAAACACACATCAACTCTGCATTTGCTAAACAGTAATATTATATAATAATTGTTTAATGTTGTAGGTATCATTCAAAATGCACATTTACTATTTTTTAATCTATTCTATCATTTCAGATGAATATGAATTCGAAAAGAAGATTGATGCTTCTAACCTCAGAAGTATGCGCTACCCGCAACACTTTCAAGAATGCGTTGTTTAATATATACAAATAATTATTTTTTATGAGCGCAATGTGAGGAATGTTGAAAGATTGTTTAAATAAAACAGCCAATCTTTCAACTCATGAAAATACTCTTTCCATTGCGCGAATAAATAACATTCTTTATTTGTTTTAAAACACACCTAAAATAGATTCATGTCACTTAATACTTTATAAAACAAATCTACCTTTTTTCTGAATGGAGATTCATGTCATTTTATATTTTACTAAATAATTCACCGTTTTTTTTCTAAATAGAACAGTCCAGCCTCTCTTTAACCAATCGAAAGATTATATAAAGTTGTCGTCATGTCGTATCCTAGGCACCGTACAATGGGCGGAAAAAAAATGACGAATGGAAATAAATTTCCGTGATGAGTGTGACGAAACGGGGTAACTAACCAATGTCACGTGATACGAAATCCACTAATCAAAATGACATGGATCTATTTAGGAGTGATATCTATGGTTATAATATACAAATAATGAATGTTCATAAGTTGAATTGATAGAATATTCCCAAATGACAACGATGTGTTTTAGGTGTGTCATAAGTTAGCATATGTTTGTGTTTTTCATGATTATTCTCATATGCATTAAATATGGGTATAGGCTGTCTCTTATACACATCTCCACTATAAGATTTAGTTTGTTACCGACTCCATTGTTCATTTTAGCACCATGACCACACAGATAGTTTATCTCCCTGAGCTCTATTTATTAGTTGTATTGTAAGTAGCTTGATCACACTTGTTATCTCTGATCATTATATTGGATTATTGATGATTCAAGAGCTATTGCATAATCCTTAAATTTGCGCCTCCATGTGATTGTATCAGCAGCATAAGTCTCCCAACAGTCAGGTTGCATGCCACATAACTTAAGATGTCTTTTTGGACAGTCTTTGTACCGCAGGAGAGGGCGGTATCTTGTTCTTGTCCCATTACTTAACTCTCCATAGAATACGCTCTTGGAAATTCTATCTTCGTTCATGTGGACGACATGCCCAGACCATTTCAATTGTCTCTGTGTGATCAGAGCTTCAACGCAGGGCATACCTGCTCTCCTTATAACTTCGACATTTGAGATTTTGTCCAGCTACTTTATATGCATAATGTGCCTTAGATGGGACATCTGAATTTGTTTTCGATATAGTGTATACGTTTTAGATGAAAAAAGAAGGCAAGAGAGTACCACAGCTCGATAAACCTTGCTCTTAGTGCTTTCCAAACTTTATTCTGGAGTTTGCCATATGCTGCAGATGCTGAGCTGATGCGCTTTTCTATTTATTTTTCAAATAAGTTGTTAATTATGACTGTGCTGCCTAGGTACGTAAAATGGTTGACATTCTGATGTTGTACTCCTTGGAGCAAGATTCTTGGTGGGCTATATTGTTCACCACGTAGTGGTTGAATAATAATTTAAGTTTTTATGGTGTTGATAGTCAAACCCAAGCTTGTGGTGGCTGCTAGGTCGAATTTATCAATGATACATTGCAAAGCAGACTCCGAATGTGCAACGATAGCTGAGTCGTCGGCATAAAGTAGTTCACGAACACAGATCGTTGAAGTTTTTGTTTTCGCCTTTAGGCGTTAGAGATGAAAAATGTTGCCATCTGAGCGAGTATTGATGAACCCACAATGAGCTTCAGGCAGTATTACGTCAGTAATTGGGTTTAATCTTGTAATAATGACCTTTGCAAAAATCTTCCCTGCAATCGACAAGAGGGAGATCCCTCAGTAGTTACCACATTTTTTCCTGTCACCTTTCCGTTTAAATATCGGTATGATTACCGCATCCTTAAAATTTTTTGGGAAATTTCTCTTTTTTTTCAAAATTAAATCTAGAATATCAAACAGCGATCTGAACAACTTTTCACCACCATGTTGGAATACCTCAGCAGGGATACCATACCATCTATTCCTGGTGCTTTATGCTGTGCGATGGTTTTCAACTACAGTACGAACCTCTTCGATCTTAAGGAAAGAGTCCGCATCACAGAAAACCAGTATTTGAGTGATGTTACTGACAATTAATAGATCCGCATTCGATGGCTGATTCAACAGTTGTTCGAAGTGAGATTTCCATCTCTTGATAATTTGCCTGCCATCTGTCGGGACTGCGATGTCATCAGAGTCCATAATCGGAGTGATCTGGGATCAATATACTGTTTTCAGTGCCTGGTAAAAAGCTCTAGTGTCACCAGAATCAGCCAGTCTTTGAATCTCATCTGCTTTGTTATTCCACCAAGTGTCTTCCATCATTCTAATTTGCCTTTGAAGAACAGATTTGATGCCCACAAACAGTTTTCTTAGGATGGTAGAGTCAGGATTACTTAAATAGCATGAAGTGCTTTTTTCTTTTGACAGAGCAGATTTGATATTTCCATGTCGTTTTCATCAAACCAGTCTGCATTGCGTCGATTTGGTTTACCAAGTACAGCAATAGACTGATCGTATACATATGTTTTACAGTTACTCCAAATCTCCTCAGGTGAACAATTTTGCAGACTTGTATGCGGAAGAAAATTGTGTTTCCAGCTTGGTTCTGATGAGAGGATCCTTTAACTTCCCTACATCTGGTCTGGTTTAGTAGCTGACATACGTCATGGAAGATGATGGTGTAACTTAAAACGGTATAGGATCATATAGTGATCCGTTGAGCATTCTGCTCCTCTCATAGCTCTAGTGATACATACTTGATGAAGATTCTTTTGACTTATGAGCACATAGGCTAGCAGGTGCCAGTGACCGGAGCGAGTGTGTTTCCATGAGTAATAATGATGGTCTGGTGCATCGAAAAAAGTGTTAGTTAATGCTAGATGGTATTCATTACAGAGTTGTAGTAATATCTCGCCTGATCTGATACGGCCATAGGTAGCTCTGTTAGCTTCTCTCACCGGTGGCAGGAAGCATTTCACAGAGAGCAAAATAACACTATAACTCCTCAATTCCTTATCAAGTAGAGCTGTCTTTGGTCTAGCTGAATTTGGGTTGCTATCTAGTAGCGTTTGCATGTTCCAGCATGCTATATATATATATTCTTTGATTTATTTTTCCCACTGGTATGGAAACCCGCTGACCGTGGGCAGCCAGCCAAGTAGTAGAGAATAAGCGCTTTACCTCACATTTTCTAGAAGCCTCCACATATTGAGGCAAGCGGGGCCGCTTGGTCATCCAGGAAGGACCTTGGTACACTGTCATCCATCAGTGATCCACGACCATCACTCACTGGACCGCACAGATGTGAACACTTACTACCAGCTCCCAGCAACTCACGCCTGCTGACATCGTAATAGATTCATCGCCCTGCGATCTGAGTTTGGCATCAGATAAGCCTTCACTGGTGTTTTAGGTGCGAGATACATCGTGCTGGTGTATCCATAGCCTCTGGGATACTCATCTCGAACTCCAACGGCAAGCATTAAGCCAAACAGCTGGCTACTGCCCCGCAGTATCTCTACGACACTAAATATTTCTTAGCCACTTCTGAACTATTACAGGTATTATAAGACTGTCCAGTCGCACTGCTGCTTACAACTGGGTGTGGATAGGAATTAACTTGATAGCCGCTTCCTTTCACAGTGATTTCCTGCAGGAGTCCAACACACCATATCTTTATGACGACCACAGGTCAATTCTACGTCATACTGTGTCCTTAGTGGCTTGTCATCTCCTCTTGCTGCAATACCTTTAGATCCAGTGTATTTTGCAGTTTATACGCTTCTTTTGCCATTCAGTCTTCGTTCCCTTTCTGAATGGGGTGACGTTCCACTGCGAGAGCCAATACGTCACCTGTCGTTTGCCTTACATAGCTTCGCATGACTGTCGAGTCAAGATTCCGGGGTATGGACATGGTGGGTACTCCCATTGCTTGCAGCCATATGTAGGACTTGAGAAGTAGTAGGGAACCTACGGACATTATCCACGCC